ACACACACACACACACACACACACACACACACACACACACACACACACACACACACACACACAGGTACAGGCAAAAAAAACATTATTACCTTGGGTGATAACTTAGAAATCAATACACATATGAATAAATTAGCACCCTTCTTATACGCACCTGAATGTTGCCACAGCATTAACTCTTCAAGCTTTTAAATGTATCTTTGTATGTTTGGCTGTCTGGAGCTGAAGATTTTTATTTATTTTTTACATATTTGAACTTGTGACAAGACCCATCACACAAATCACAGAAATGATCCAGACTAAGTGAAGTTTTTTTCTGTTTTATATTTGCTTTTCCTGATTCCCYGTGAGATTAGTAGGGTTCAGGATTTGTTAAACACGTGTTATTATCACAGGTARTTTAACAGCATGTTGTTAGGTCTTAAAGCAGTGTGGTGAGACAGCAGCTTTGTGCATCTGACATTCGTTCGTTTCAACACTTTTACATCACGTTTCTTTTACAGGTTCAACTGATCCTCAGAGGATTGTCTTGTAAATTTTTAACAGAACTGTACAGACAAACATCTGTGACTATTTTTCCCTTCAAAGTATAAATACCATCACTGACCTTCAGTGTGTTGTCATTTTTATTTTTAAGCTGCTCTGTTCTCCAGGGGTCACCACAGCAAGCTGACTTGCACAAATAAACTAGCAATAGTTATTTTTAATTTTTTACTTCGGATGCTCGTCCTGTTGCAGCTCAGACTCAAACCTACAACCTCAGGGTTATGAGACTGTGGCACTGACCACTGATCTACTGTGTCTTTCATTATGTTAATTAGTTTTGTATTACTTTTAAAAGGTCTGCCTTAAAGGCTCTTAGTGCTACAAATATTCTGACCACTCTTATTTGTTATTTTTATTATTTGTTAATTACTTACTCCATCGTTTGATGCATAACAACACAAAAAACATTGCTTTTATATATTGTAGTGCTTGTTTTCCCAGTCCAGTGGAAACACACAGGTGTTTGGTCAGGTTCCTGGCAGTGTGAGTGAAGTGAGCAAAATAAGAGCCTGCTTCTTCTTCATCCCTCCAGGATCACGGCCCTGTAACAAGCCAACAGCAGCCAGGATGAATAGAGGCTCTGTATGCTTTGGCAGTGTGCATCTCCGCTGGCCTTTCAGTAAACAGACAGCCAAACAGCACTGTGGGAAGAAATGATCAGAAATAGCGAGTGAGCTGTAGGAAAATCTCCAGAAGGAGAAAAAGCAAATAACAAAATGTTCCATAATGTATTGTTTACCCCCAGTTTATTTGAGTTTCACTGTTTTCCTTCATGGATCCTTAAAGATGTAGTTTTTTTTCCCCCTTGAGTGTTTGGTTCTTTTCATTATTTCTTTAAACTGTCCTCCAGCTGAACCTTTGTCTGTTTCAACTCTGACTCATTTTTTTCTTTACATATTTTAGTCAGCACAGATGTAGATATCAAGAAGCTTAAAACTATTTTAATGGCAGGAGTGTTGAATGTATTAAGGATCTAATCAGTGAACAGCTTTATATCCGTCAAAAGTTACAGCAGGCAATTAAAATAAAACCCTTCAAAAGTTAACTATTTAATGCTTTGCTCTTTTTCAGTTCTTGCTGTGCTCTTCTTGCCAGGAGGTAAAACATTCTTATTTTCTACGCACTGCAATAATAAATAAACAATGAACACATAATAGATTAATTTCCTTCTGTGTCCACCATGATGTTCATTTGCTGTCAGCCTGGGGTCAGAGTGGCAGCAGCCTCGGTGTCGTGGTGGAGGCCAAGAACATCACGGCTGCTGAAGGCTCGACAGTCTCCCTGCCCTGCCAAAGCCCCCGCATGGTGTGGACCCGGGACAGACTCAAGGACCGTCAAAGGGTAGTGCACTGGGACTTGGTCCGCAGCAGTCCAGAATACTCTGTGGAGAGAGTCGTGGATATGTCACCCGGAGCCCACCTGAGAGTTTACAATGGCTTCAACAAGGGACGTATATCCATCCCAGACACCGCCTTCACCGATGGAAACTTCTCTCTTGTCATCCACAGTGAGGCTCCTCTACCATCCTGCAGGTCTATTAACACATTTTTACTGTCATTACTAATATCTATAAGGGTTTGATGTTTTTCTTCCACTTCAGATGTGGTCGCTACTGACAAGGGGGTGTACACATGTAATCTTCACCATCATTACTGCAAGATCCACCAGTCCGTTCAGGTCCAGCTCAATGTCACCAAGTCAGGTGAGTCTATCTATATTAATTCTTTTCACTGGGTTATGGTCAATGAAACAGGAAATAAAAGCTTTTCCCATGCTGCAGCTCGGAGGGAGAAACGGTACTGGGACGGAGAGAAGACTGTGTTCGTGGTCTTGTTGGGCAGCTCAGTAGTGTTGCCTTGTGTCAACCGGCGGTCACTTTGGAGAGAGGGTCTGCAGGAGGACCAGCAGCAGGTGGCTCACTGGGACTTCCAGCCCCCTGGTGTGCGTCCTGATAAGGCCGACCGCCTGGTGGACCTGTACGCCTCTGGAGAGCGAAGAGATTATGGACCCTTGTTCGGTCAGAGGAAGATGAGCGTGGCGGAGGACGCGTTCACATTTGGAGACTTCTCGCTCTTCATCGCTGACTTGAAGCCTGTTGATAAGGGCCTGTACTCCTGCAACCTGCACCACCACTACTGTGGTCTGCAAGAGAGGCGCATCTTCAGACTCACTGTGGGACCTCGGCCCCCGACTGAACTCATTACAACCCCCAGAACTTTCCTTAATGATGAACTAGAACCAAGTAAGCATCAAACATCACCAGAACTTTCTATTTTCTAGAGGTTCTTCTTTTAGTGCATCATCTGCCTCCATTATACTCTGCTGCATCCTCCTCTGTTACACCAACCAGCTGCAGATTCTATGATCTAGAATTCTTTTCTGTGATCTTCCTCTTTGCCTCCCTGGCAGCTCCATATCTAACAGCCTTTGTCCAACATATCCACTACCCCTCATATGCATATGTCCATCCCAGTCTCTGTAACTTTGTCTTCAAACTTAGTAAGTAAGTAAGTAAGTAAGTAAGTAAGTAAGTAAGAAGTAAGAAGTAAGTAAGTAAGTAAGTAAGGAAGGAAGTAAGGAAGTAAGGAAGGAAGTACCTGTAAGTAAGTAAGTAAGTAAGTAAGTAAGTAAGTAAGTAAGTAAGTAAGTAAGTAAGTAAGTAAGTAAGTAAGTAAGT